TACAAGAGTAAGACTTCATGTTAAGCTATTATATACAATCATTTCTATGCACACTACACAAACACATTAAACCAGGACAAAAGTAATTTTCTGAAATCGAATGAATGTTTTAGATGTTTACATTTTAGAATATAATTTGATATTTGTCTGGTTTAGAGATGGCAAAACCCCTTGCTGAAAAGAGTACTTCCAGGGGCAGGGGAAGGGATTTTTGGTGACAAAGGTCAAGGGGCAGGACTTCCAGTCACAAGATGGCAACTAGGAGGTGTGGCACTGGTCAAGGGGCAGGGCTAGCCATGCAGTCCTCCACCAGGAATAACTGCCTGCCCCTGGTGTACACCCTTCCCCCAGGTATGCAAGTTGAATAAAAAGAAGAGCGTGTGCACATTTGAGGGACACAAATGAAGCAGCCTGTTTCCCACAAGATTTTAGAATACAGAATCACCATCCCCCTCAAGGAAAAATACGCCAAAAACTAAAATACCCAAGGCATTGATGGTGTGCAATTAAACAGAGGACTCAGGCAGAAGTGGTGGGGGAGGATGAGAAGAAGTCAGTTTTGAAGCACCAACCTAGTTAAGAAGACTTTGTGAAAGAAGTGGATTTTTAGGGGGAAGCGAGAAGAAAAGCATTTGATCAGCAAGGGGTAGGAGACTTCCTAATGCAAGGCAGCAAGCTTGAAGAAGAGGGTGGGGGGGACAATGGCAAGGAAGCTGTACACAGAGTAAGAGGGAAGGGGCCTCTCTCTCTCTCTCTCTCTTTTTTTTAAGGTTGGTTTAGGATAAAAGAAAAACAACTTCTATTAAAATTGCATTTGCTGGAAGCTTTGGCCAGTGGAGATAACTTACCGGAGATTACGCCAATGGTGATATACATTTCAGCAACCGAGTGTGCAAAGGAAGCTGTGATCATTCCGGCACTGACCAGTATCCCTCCAGCCATCACCACCAGACGGTGACCAAAGCGATTGCTTAGTATTGTTGACAAGGGAGCTGCATTGGCGGAGGGGCAGAGAGAGAAAGAGAGAGCGTACTGTATTAGACCAGGACTACAAATCTTGGCAAAATCATCCAAGTTGAACAGGGCCAGGGTTCCCTCTCAGTACTTCCCATTCTTATGTCCCCATCACTTTTTAAAGTGAAGGCAACAAGTCCCATCTCCTGCTAACAATGTGGGAAGTTAAGAGCAAGTCAGAGACTGAGAACTCCCCGCTGGCCATTCAAGACCGAGGATGCGGCTCAGAGATCTGGACACTGCAAAGGCTCCGCGAGGGAAATGGTGGGCACGGTTAGTGATTTTACTGGTCATCTCCTTGCTCTTGTGTGGTAAGCAGTTTGTCAGTCTTCAAAGGTTTTCAGATGGGGGCTGGGGTTGGCGAACCAGAGAAGAGGAATGTGTGTGTACCCCAGTGGAAACCCTCATCAGCTACATGGGTGCATCAGGGACAAGAAGAGAAACCCTGAATCTTTAGGAGCTCAGCTCGGACTAGCGACGTACTGTAGGCTTACCTGTAAAGGCTTGCACAAATACGCATATGGAGATTATCCAGGATATTCTGCTGTTGGTTTCATCAAAACTTTCCATCAGGTCATTAAAGAAGACTCCAAATGATTTTATGATGCCATACGTAAGCGCTTCCACGAAGAAGAAAGCAAAAGCAACAGTCCAACCCCATCCTCCGTCAGGCACTTTAGTATAAACGTTTGGAGCAGTGCACGACATCTTTACAGCTTTGACAGTCATTTTGAATCTAGAATGGAGGGCTGGAAGGAGGAAAAAAAGCAAGGTATCTTTTTAAGTTAATTTTGCTTACAAAAACGTGTGGCCTAATAACATCAATAAATAGAAGCAAGAAGAGTCTTTTTCCCTGTTGCTGCGAGAGCACACATGGGGCACAGGCAGAAGTTTCTCTTTTTTTTTTTTCTTTTATGATGGGATACAGCTCATTTGTTTGAATCGCGCGAATCAGAAACAGACCACTCGGCATCAGGATAAGCTGTTGTGATCAGCAAAACCAGCAATGAAAAGCATCCAAGTGAAATGCAGGAGGGACGCAACTGTTGAACAACCTGTGGCATAACCCAGAGGCTTGTGAAATGTCACGAACTTCAGAGCCAGGCCCCAGCCATCACATTTAGCAGAGAGAAAACTAGATGCAGAGGAAAGATGCAAGGCTTTTCCACCCCACACTTCCAGAAGGGCAACTGCTGAGCCCTGGACTGCCAGTCAGACCTGTGAGGCTGGGGAATCACATCCACCTGCCACCCCCCAGATCTCTACTGATCTGCTTCAAGCCACGAAATGTTTTCTTGAGCATTCAGTTTCTGTTCAGATTACAGAAGGGAGACAAAATGCTACTTTGGTGCAGTCGGGCTCATCCCAGCGGCCTCTTCAGAGCAACTTTCCGCTCCTCCACCCAGCCTCCCGGGTTAACGCGGATACGGCCGCGTGCACACGTTCTCCCTTGCTGCCCTCCAGTGACTCCCCGCGGCGTGTAGTGCCGAAGCTTTCACCCTGCACACGGCTTTACCACCTATGCCCGATTCCTCCCCCCCGGGAGTTACAACTCACCCACTGCTAATCCGGTTACTCTACACTGCCGGCGTCAGGGTAGCAAGTGCAAGGATTTCTCTGCAGCTGCTGGCTTCAGTCCTCATGCTGCCCCTTGTAGGGATGCCCGACCTTGGGGCCTTTGCACCCACTCCCTGCGAGCACCCGTCTGCACTAGGCTTCAGGCTCCATTTGCTCTTCGTCTCAACGTATGAAGGTTCACACTTTCAACTCTCCTCCAAAAATACCCCTCTCCTCTAGGAGCATCACTGGCCTTCGGACCCCAGGACTCGGGGCATCTCCTTTACATGCACAGCAGAAGCCTCTGCTTCGTCGCACCAAGTATAAACCACCAAAAAAACCCCAACCAAACCCCCGAACTGTGAATCTTTTTTTTCCTCCCCCTCTTTGCTTTGCTCTTCTTGTCCCCCAAACCTT